GCGAATTTACTGAAATACAGTGAAACCTTTTTAGCATGACACTCAAGGGACTGGATCAAGGTGTTATTATAAGCGGAGTGTTACACTATCCAGGTACTTTTTGATAGGAATTCTATAATTACAAAAAGCGATCAAAAAGGTGTCATTATAAAGAGGCTGCTATACTATCGAGGAAGCATACTAAAGAGGTATTACTGTAAAAAAATTAAATATTACGGCTTTCTTTGAACTTTAATAGTTATCAATATGGCACTTTTAGGTAAGACAATATTTTTTAAGTAAACTAAATTTTAACAATTTATTTTTGAGCTATAATACGTTTTTTTAAATTTTTAAAATCATTCTATTATATTATATAATATTGAACTTTGTCATTATTGTTAATATTTTTTTTCTATTAATTTTAAATGATCTCATCAAACTTTCTATATAACGTTTAGTACGACGTGTTTATTCAGATCTCTTGTAGTGCACAATAGTACATTGTTTATTAATTTTTGATACAGACATAAGAAACTTCTAGTTAAACTCTTAGACAACACAATGTGTTTGTGATGCTGGCTCTTTATAATATAATTTTTGTTTTTTTACTGTATTTGTCATGTATAGGTTGTTCACATAATTCTGCGCTCACTAACCCAAAACATTTTCTTTGAGAAGAGGCACAGGATTAATTAAACAACCTAATAATTTTTATTTGAACAATATCATTTTTTATTGAAACGTTATATCTTGTTACATGTTGTTGTTGTATACATCAATACCTATGTGACTTACTACATATTCTTACGTTAGCGACTACTATTTTTTGTCAATGTATGTTGACTTTACCAAAATAATTTTGTTGTGATGGTATTCAAATATACATCAGAATCCTTTATGTATATTGACTATAGGTTGGATTTTTGGTCTAAAATAGCCACATGTATTGCATGTGCAGCTGTAAATGACATGACAAGTGCGCGTGGTGTTTTCTTCAAAACAGTTGTTTAGTGTATATATTATAGTATAACAGAACATATCGTATATAAACCGTAGCACAGCATATTGTCTTTATATATTGTCTATGCAGTATGTATATACCATAACATGAAATTAATAATAGGTATATATTTATGTATAATGGTTGTTTATAAATATGACACATTGTATGACATATTTTAGTGCTTTGTACATAGTAGATGCTGAAATATTGTTACAAGACTGTCTGAGAATTAGCTGATGAATAGGTATTGTCATTTTTAGTTTGTTACTCTGTTAGAGACATTGCGATCAAGCCGTAATACGTGAGCTAGGGGGCAGACCCCCAAACTAAGGCTTTTTCTTTGGGCCCAGCTGAAAAATTGGGTCTGGCTCGGCTGCGTTTCAACTTGTTAGTCTAGGTTTTATTTATTTACAATTTAATTTTTAAAAACCGTTCATCTCAAATTACTACTCAACATATTCTGGTTACTAATAAGTTATGCATTGATCCCGTGGTCTACAAACATATTTACCTTTGAGTGAAATCATAGGTAATTTTATATACTTTTGTTTACTACGGTCTCAATATGCAAAGTATAAAGTTATTTTCAAACTTAAATTTCTCCGAATTTCAATTGAAATTTCATTGTAACTTTACCTTTTGTGATTAATGAGTCTTTTACCTACTAGGAGATGTTTACATAGGGACATGCATATTGTTCCGGGTTTGGCTAAACTATGTGATATACGATATAATTGTCTGTAGTATACTACATAGTTTGCGGTACACAGACCGTCATTATTGTATTAAGAATGACATAAATACTCAGGCTATATTTAAAAAACATGGTATTTACGTAGGCTTTACAAGATTTTATACGACTTTAAGTTACTAATGTGCATGTTGCTCTTAATTTTAGTTACTAATATGCATGTAGCTCTTTATTTTAATTACTAATGTACATGTAGCTCTGTATACACATAGGTAATGCTTAATTTCTGTTGTACACGGTATGTGGGGGTTGTAGAACTTTTTAAATTAAGTTGTTCATTAACTTTTCCGTAACTCTATTACTTCTTAATGTAATTAACTCTATGTTATCACCTTGTTTATTACTCATTTTTCAATTTTTTATAAATTGAATTTGGCTGAACTTTAAAAAAAGTCATAAACATAACAACATTGCCTATTTTTAACACAACTATCCCTATCCTAACATAAAACACAAATCTTTTCGCGTACAACCTTGTATGATACTCAAATAGCGTGGTATGTTTCCATCTTTTGTTTCGTGGGCCGAAACGTATCGAATTTACCTGATTTGCAATTCCAGCGGTACGAGAAGCCATTCGTCATTCGCGACGATAACACCGCCGAATCCTACGATACCAATATTAGTATTCAAGCGATTCGGATATTATACGATAATATCTTCGGGGAACCGCCCATCGCTCATCGACACTACTCGAACCCCAGCATAGGTTGAGAGTATTGTGGGCTGGAAGGCGGCGATGTCACGCTTCAATTTTCTGATTTTGGTCGTATGTACAGTGTTGATGATGGTGGTACGGTCGAGTCCCATTCATCAGCAGCCTCTGAACACCGACGTGTACTTGCGGTTCCGGCGGAATGCACAAAATAGCCGTAAGTTTTTAATTGACATTGTTTAAAAAATTGATAATTGGTAAAAAAAGGGGAAAAAGTTGTTTATTATGGTTAAATTTAAGTATATACAAAATCATTATCTTTATCTTAATGAAGTTCTCCAGTCTACTTTAGGATATACAGTAAAACCTCTTTAATATAAAAATTTTTTGATTTGACTAATTTGAAAAATCATTTACTGATATAGACCTTCAGCCCGGATGACAAACAAAAGCTTTTAAACCTTGTAGTTTCTAGTGCCAAAAACCATAGATTTTTTTTTATAAAAAAGTAAAATTTTTTAAAAGTTTTTAAAAAATTCTGTGTTTTGTGCCACGACCTAAACCTTTGCATGAATTTCAAAATCTTTCAATTCTCATATTACAACATTGACGTTGTTTGGGTTTATTTTAAAGTCTGTGGTTTCACACGAACATGCCAGACATTTGGAAATGATACAATTGTGTAGTAGTAGTATTCTTAGTAGTTTGTCTTGGAACACACACGATACACATAATAAAACATAGACACGTGGTTGGGCTAGACTTGAAAAAAGACCGGTCGGGCCAAAGCAAGGTTGACTAAGGTTCAGTGTTTTGCCGGACCGGTCCGGATGAGAATTTTTTCGGTCCGGTCCGGTCCGGCTCTATTTTTTTTCGCTCAGGTCCGGTCCGGACCAAAAAGGTCAGGTCCGGTCCGGAAAATTTTTTTTTAATTTTTAAAAAGAGCCAGGAGCGCTAAAACTGCTTTCTTTACGTTTAAAACTCTTAAAAATATGTTTCATTTGCAATTTTTAGAACAGTTTTATTAAAATAAAAAAAAATTTTTCTTCCGGACCGGTCCGGACCGGACGGGTCCGGCAAAACACTGCTAGGGTCAACTGCAAGCATGAGGGCCTGGGTTCAAACCAAGGTTCAAGGACCCAAACCAATACCACAAAAAGTCAAACCAAAGCCTTAGGAACCCAATACTTTAAATTTTTTAAAATTTTTGAAATTGCAATCCGCTTTTTGCAGGTCCAACCCGAGCAGACGAGTACGTTCAGCCATTCATTCGATTCCGCAAAAACTACCAATTACCATACGACATTTCGTTCGACTACGTCCCGTACATGACCCGGATCTAAACTCGGCTTCTTTTGTTAATTAAGTAATTTAAGTGATATTAAAAGGTCTCAGACCCGATTCCTGTCCATTACTGTATTTACTTGTTTCCGTCTAATAAAATTAATAAAACTTGTTAGTTTAGAGAAGTTCAAAAATATTTACGATTTTACATGGGAAAGTACGTAATGTGCTTCGCTCTGGTTGACTTCAAACTTTTTACATACAAAGAATATGTAACTACAAGATCTTCAGCAAACTACTAGGTCGCGCTTTCCACACAATCTCGAGAAATTCAAAATCAAAAAATTGCGTTTTGAATTTCCCGCCAAATTAGCATTGTATTTCAAACTTATAAAGTTGTTATTCCTTGACTTTTATTCGTTTTTCTTTGATATACTAGTAAAAAACCTTTAAAACAACTTATATTTTTAAAATTGTAAGTGTAGCTTGTCTGAAAGTAGAAAAAAGCGCTTAAAACACAATGCCAAAAATATCCAATTTAGCAGGAAAGCAAAATATTTCAGATTTAAAACTTAAAAGCGCAAGCTAAAATTTTTTATGAGTACTATTGGCGGTACAATGAGTTAATATAGAACTTTTTTGAGTTGATTCTGACCGTGCCAGGAGGGGTACTTTCCTTAGCATAGTGATGTAAAATCAATTGTGACACTTTGCTACGAAAATAGTTTTGAAATTTTATAAAAATATTTTTTTAAATTGTATTTTTGTTGTTTTCTTTTAATTTTATTTAGGTTTTTAGTCGTTTTTCTTTAAAATTTAATTAAAATTTGTATTTTACACTTAAAATTTAGCTTTATTTGAATTAAGAAAAGTATAATATTGTCGTATTTTAGCTTTAATTTACTCGAAACCTATATAAGCTTGTTGTACCTTAACTTTAATTCAATTAAACACCAATAATCTTGTCGTATTGCCCTGCTTACATGTTGTTTACGCTTTAAAAAACGCAAACTTTACTATTGCAGCAGCAACATAATGAGAAAACTTGGTGGAGGAACTTGTTAATCGGCGCGAAAAAACAATTCGAACCGGCGATCACGAACTTCTGGAGTAAACTTTAAAACGGTTGTTGCTATGTTTGCGTCGCCCACTATACGAAATGCTTTCTGGTTTTGTCCCAAAAAGGACTGTAAAGTGTTCCGAGAAAGTTTAGCCCCCTATTACACTATGTTTGCAACTATGCGGGCCGGCTTGATGTTCAGGAATGCTATAAAAGCAAGGGTTAGCAACTCCGAACCAAGGCACATTTGGGTCTCGATTCCAAAATGAGCAAGACATTCGTCCAGCTAGCGGCTGGCGCCTCGACCATCGCAGTCATCGCCTCGTTGGTGTGCGCCGTCTACATCTTCAACGACATCAACTCGTTGTACGATGAGATCATGGACGACATGGCCGAGTTCCGTGTCACCTCCAACTCCGCCTGGTCCGGCATGCTGAGCCAAGCCCCCAAACGCCCACTCCCTGACTTCCAAGTCCTCATTGGTCGTAACAAACGTCAAGCCGGCTGCGCTTGTGCTCGTCAAGCCTCCCAATGCCCACCCGGACCTCCAGGCCCACCAGGAACTCCAGGTCTCCCCGGAGATGATGGACTACCAGGACAGGCCGGACGTCAAGGAGGAGCTGGAGTTGCTCAAATCAGCGACCAAGTTGGAGCTGGAGGATGCATCACTTGCCCAGCCGGACCACCTGGCCCACCAGGACCACTCGGAGCTCCAGGACCAGCTGGAAACCCAGGAGGACAAGGACAACCAGGTGCTCCAGGACAAGGAAGCGGCCCAGGACCACAAGGACCACCCGGTGATGCCGGAGCTCCAGGACAGCCAGGAGGCCCAGGACAGGCAGGTCAACCAGGACAGCCCGGATCTCGCTCTCACCCAGTTCCCGGACCAAAGGGACCAAGCGGACAGCCAGGTGCCCCAGGACAGCCAGGTGCTCCAGGACAAACCCTCGGCGGACCCATCCCAGGCCCACCAGGACCACAAGGTGCTCCAGGACAACCAGGACAGCCAGGTAGCGACGGACAACCAGGAGCTCCAGGAAACGAGGGAATCACCGGAAAGGACGCCGCCTACTGCCCATGCCCGTCACGAGGTGGTGAGGCTCCAGTTCAAGGAGGTAACTCGGGTGCCTACAACGCCGCTCCAGTCCCACAGCCTTCCTACAACGCTGATGTTGGAGCTGCTCCACAAGCTGGTGGTTATCGTCGCCGTGCCTTCAGACACCGTCAGCGTGCCGCTCAACGTACTCGTGCCGCCGTTCGCACTCGTGTCGCTGCTCGTCGTGCCGTCGCTGCTCACAGACAATAAAATGTGGCACGTTTTCCGATTTATTGAGTTTCAATAAACATTTTGCATTCAATTTTGGTTACTTTGACATTGTCTATATCATTATATAGTAAAATATTACACTACTGATTAGGGTATACACTACATTAATAACAGCCTGCTAATACCTTAACATATAAAACCGGAACTAAACCCTTAAAATAGGTATTAAACAAAGCCAATAAAAGGCATATCAACACGACCAAACAAATAAAAACTTCAAAAAGTATCACAGTTTAATCAGTACTACATTTATGGCATTCAAATCAGAGATTAATCACTTTTTCGGCGAATGCCTTAGGATCGGTGGTGGGGTAGCACTTCCATTCGTATTCTTCAGCTAAAATAATATCGATTAGTTAGCTGTATGCTTAAAAATACTTTTTTAAACATTATTTTGACTGAAAATGGCATTCATCAACGTCAAAAGTTGACAAAATGCCATTCTTTTTGCATCAAGCTGAAAAATACCAAAAAATTTTTAATTTTGATTAAATTTTAGGCTTACGTGTTGGTTTCTTGTTGTTTTTGTCGTTTCTTCCTTCTGAAATGCTCAGAGCGGAAAAGTCAGCAGTATCCACCTTCTCTTCCCAATCGTACGGCATAGAGAACGTTACCTTCATTCTTTTCATTGACTCAATAAACTGAAAAATATTAACATAAGCCTTTTTAGACCCATATAAAGCTGATCATTATAAAATATATGTAAAATACCAACCTCAAGCCTAAGGGAACGGAAACATATTAACTAAGGTCACAAAGAGCACAAAATGAAAATCTTGTGTGAAAAATATTGAGCTAATAACAACAAAACCAAACTCACACAATCATAGATTAGTCGATAATTCGGTCGATTTTCGTACTTTAACTCCTTCAAATGGTCGGTAATCTTGTTAAACTCCTGAGGGCACTTGTCAAACAACTTGTCACAAGTGGTACTCTGCTTAATGTCCTTTAATGGTGCCTCTTCCGTCTCCTTCGACCACGGCAGACCAACTAACAACTCCACCAACATGTACATCAGTGACCACAGATCGTCGACTCGACCCTGCTCGCGACGTTCGTGAACTTGCAATGAGCAATAGCGAAGTGTGCCTCTCAGTAGCACCTTGTTTCTGGCTTTCCGTAACTGCCATTTACCACCCGGTCCTAGCGTGGCAAAAGAGCGCACCATTCCGTAGTCGATCATGAAGATGACACGAGTGTCGTAGCCGCTGACACCGATTACCATGTTGCCTGGCTTCACGTCACGATGTACGTAGCCAATTTCGTGGAGCTGGAAACGGGTTCTTTGATATTGTAATAAAGGAAATATTTTTAAAAATTTTAATTAAATAAAAAAAAATCGAAAAAATTAAATTGTAGGCTACAAAAATAAAAAAAAATGAAATTTTTGGTAAAAAGGAAGAAAAAATGATACTTTAAGTAACAGAAAAAATGCAATTTTAAGTAACAAAACTGAAAAAATGAGATTTTAGGCAACAAAAAGGAAAAAAAATAAAAGTTTTTTAGATAACAAAATTAAAAAAAAAATTTTTAAATAACAAAAGTAGAAAAAAATAAAATTTTAGATAACAGAAACAGAAAAAATGCAATTTTAGGCAACAAAAATGAAAAATATATAACTTTAAGTAACAAAAATAAAAAAAAAAAAATAAAAAAAAATTTTTTTTAAAATCTAGATAACAAAAATAAACTTTCAACTTTTGAATCAAGCCTACCTGTTTGATGGCATACAACGCGTGTACCCCGATTCTGACTGCCGTTTCGGGCGAAAACCGGTTGTCAATGTGCTTAAACATGGATTTCTTATCAGTATCGACTCGTTTCAGAAACATAAGATCAGGGCCACAAAGTGTCATGACGATGAATGAGTAGGATTTTCGTTTTCCCAAATTCAGAAGGCGGATACACTTCTTTCGTGAAGCCAACTTGGTTAAAACTTCAGCTTCAAGCTTTAGAACTCCACCGTCTTCGATATTGTTTGACTCGACCTGAAGAGGATGTTGGTTATGTTTTAAAATGGCATTAAAACCAAGTTTCTTTTGATTTATGAAAGGTACTACAATATAAAATGCCGAGCTTGCAGATTTTGGTTGTTCAAATAAATCTGAGCCTCAGCATTTGCTTTAATTGGTAGCTCAGAATTATTTGAACAACTTAAAAATCCAAAAATCATTTTTAAACCAAAAATTGAAAAAAAAATTAAAGTTAAAAATGATTACCACACCTTCAAAGCTGCACGATATCTAAGCCGGTTAGGTTCCGCCACTTCGTAAACAGCCCCACATCCCCCAGCCCCAAGCTTTTCCATGACTTTCCATTTACCACAGACCACTTTGCCAATCTTGAACTCCACCAATTCATCCCCCATAGCTCAACGACGAGACACAGATACTGAGAACACAACGAAGCAACCGCTCTCGACTGCAAAATTTCGGTAAATAAAGGCGAGGGTTGGGGTTTGAAATGAAAATTGAAAAAATTAGAAAATGCAAATTTTTAATGGATTTTGGTAAATGCTTAAGGGTTTTTTTCTCAAGATTTTTCTATTACCCTACCCTTGCTTTACCTTTGCCGTACCATTGCGTTACCCTTGTTCTACAGTTGGACCTAGCACAAGCGCACCATTATAGTCCCACCACGACAACGAACAACACTTGGCATCCTGCACGGCGCCAGCACGATAAAAGGAGAGTTCGGTCAATCAAGAGGACATTCGGTAGAGTATGGACAGTATTGGGTTGGTCAGCAGGCACGGAACAGTTAGGACGTCCGAAGGACGTCACAAGGACCTTTATTGTTATCGATTTATATTATACTATTTTTGAATGTTTTGAGGAAGGTAAATATTATAACCTTACATCGTCGGCTTGTATTATAGCTTTATACCTATAGGATCTGAATTGATTTGGATCTACTTTTAAAAATTTAAAATTAAAGTTTTAAAATAATTTTTAATTATGTTACGATCACACTTCCAATATTATGCTGTTCAAAACTGTTTTGTCCTTGTATTGTGGCTAACTATTTCGAATTCCGTCCGCTTCAATTAATTACCCAATTTAAAGATGAAAAAAAAACTTTCCGAGTCAAATTGTCCGTATGAAATGTAAGGTTTTGAAGAGTTGGCAGTACCCAAGGTGACATTCCGCTTAATTTCAATTTGCATAAAAACTTTTAAAGAGACAAAAAAGCGGCATAATTAATTGGGCAGGTCATTTTTAATTTTTAAAAATTCTTTTTTTGTTTTTAAAAAATTTTGTGGGAGTATGTTGTCGTATGTAAACAAACTGTAGTAAATAAAAATTTTAATACCTTTTGTGTAGCATGGCTAGAGTAGGACTTAAACTTACAGTATTAACTTTTTTGGCAAAGGCATTAAAGTTAAATTTTTTTTTAAATTTCAAAATAAAGAATCATAACCAAAAACAGAAATAAAATAGTTAGCAATTAATATGATACCAGAATGACCTTAACATAACGACCGTTTGCTTTTCCTTTGATCGCTCGCTACATCTGCCTGAAGGGGCGGTTTAAAGTGTCAGATGTTTGTACCCATTAAAAGTGACAAACCCTATAATTACAGAGTGAATTATAAGGTTTAGCTATTGTAAACACTTGTGTTGCAATAGTAATGTAATTTTACTTTTGTTTCTTTGGATTTTGAATGATGTGTTATGGGTTCTAAAAGGGTTTTGTAAAGGATTTTTGATATTTTTTTTATTTCTAAATTTTTTTATATTTAAGTTTTAAGCTATATTTTTACACGTTGTTCAATGTGCCACATTTTAAAATACAAAAGCTTTCTAAAAAAATAAAAAAAAATAATTTAAGAAAATTATAATCTTCGAAATATTGATCTTTATTTATTAATTTTAATTTGTTCTAATCTTATCTGTAGTACACTCGCTACATTCCTCTTTCCCATATCTATATTTTTAATACCGTATCACAGAATTTTAAATTCCATACGGTAGTTGTATCTAAGTAGCGCCTTTCTTATTTATAATTTTTAAGGCTTGTTAACTAAAACTTTAATAAAACCCATTTTTACCATGTTAGTTAACATTAAAGTCAGAATATAAAGTTATACACTTATTCTTGTGTTAGACTAGGCGGTTTTAATTTTAGAGGGGGAGAGTGGGCAAGGAAGGAAAAGATAGAAACAATTTTTTTAAGTTAACAGGGAGCATTTTCAACTTTTTTGAAAATTTTTTAGATGTGCCATACTTTTTTGTACATTGCTTGTCGGTCTTGCCTCAGCCTTGACTTCTACATACACATCGTGATAGTACCTCATAAAACTCATACACGCTTAATACCACATCACATTCTACATTGATAGTACCTCATCAGCCTCGTACACTGATATCGTACATCAAACTCATAAACTGGCACTACCTTATCAAACTCATACTGTTACACTTAAAAAACCCTTAAAAACATCTGAAATCGCCCCGAAAATCTTGATTTCCGGTCGGATTTTGGTCAAAGTGCCCATAAAACTGTGGCCCGCTTTTAGGGAGGGGGAAAGCCCTTTGTGACTTTTGTATTTCGGATTGAAGGCGCCACAAATTAAAGCAAAAAGCCGGCTGACAACAACGATGAGAGAGAAAGAAAGAGCGATCTGGCCGTGTGATTTTTGTGGACATCGTTTTTGAGCTGATCATGGATGACACGGTTGCGTAACTTGGTGAATGTGATGTTTTAAAAAGTTCTTAAATTAAAATATTTTTTACTTTTTAATTAATGTTTAACAAGATAGTTACATGGGGGTTAGACGAGACGGGGGGGGAAGGGGGGGGAAAGACTCTCAAAAAAAAAATTTTTCGAAAAAATTTTTTGCAAAAAAAGTCGGCACAAGGTAGCTTACCTGTCCCGATTTTTTCGACTCCCGCTTCCAGACCAAAAGTCCCCGCCCGTCCCTGCTCACATTGTAATTTTGTACTATCATAAATCTTGCACTTGCAAAGGTAATACATACATCTTACGTCTATTTTGAACCTCTTTTTAAAACATAACGCAAAAAAGGCAACTTCTCTTTAAATACGTATTTTACCGTAGTTACTCATAAATCCTGTCCTCCGGACTTTCTCTCATGTGATCTCCAGCTGTTTTTACTACGGTTTGCGCCCGCATTTACATTTGGAAAACCGCATTTTAAAAACTAGTGAAACTTTCAATTTCTTAATTTTTTTTGTTAACTTCTATGTTCTCCATTCTTGATAACTACAGAAGTTTTACTGTGTTATAAAAAACTTACCAACTCACACGCCTCATTGTTGCCGTATAACAATAAAAGTCTCGGTTAAGTAATATTTCCGTTTGTTTTGTTTGCCCTCTGCTTATCTGTTGTTATCACAAAATTCGAAGGTTGTTGGCGTCATCAGAAGTAAAATTCGATTGATTTTCCCTTGATCAATCTTTTTTAATCCATAGCATTCCTGAAATAGCTACAATTACACTTTTTACAAATTATTTGTGACAAAATTGAAATACGATTTGTATTTTGTAGTATATGTACTGTATATCAGCTTCCGGTTGGTAGTGAGAGTTACCGCTTAATAGCTTCAACCTCTTAACACTAGCTGCAACTGTTAAGAGGTTGAGGCTGATTAACACGTTTTTATAGACTTTATGATGAAGTTGATAGGTTGATAATCACGTTTTTGAAAATTCAGGTCGATTTTTAGGGCGGGGAGGAGAGAGGAGGCGTGGAGTTTGGAGTCTGTAAAAAAGTCTGTACAGTCGATTGTGTGGGCGTTATGAGTGATATGATAAAAGATTACTGTTCATAATACTTTTTGGTATTTCGAGAGTTTAAAACATTGTTTATTGTACTTGTTGACACTAATTTAAGTCTTATATATAATGGCTAAAAACTTTTAAAAAATTACTTTTCAGTATAATATAATACCTTTCCACTCAACTCCCCTTACTTTCCTGCTTTGTTTTATCATTCTGGAACGTTTCCGGTGTAACATAACATAATGTAAACCATAGTAAAGGCAAACATGTTCTTTCCGTCTGTTTGATTTTTGCAAAAAAAACGTTTGAAACTTTTAAAAATGTCATGAATTTAAAAGTTTTGTTGGATTTTTTAAGCTTTTTTGGCAGTATGTTTATGTTTTTGAGGTTTATTTTATAGCAGTTTGTTTTGGATGTAAAGGTAGATAAAATATGCCTTCTACGCACCTATTAATGCACAAATTTTAAGTTTTTTGTTTTAAAAATTAATTTAAAATTGATATATACGACCCAAAAGTGGTAAGGTTGTTCAAATAACTCTGAGCCCTCTCTCAAAGCAACTTTCAGAAGCTAGGAGCATAGAATATTTTGAACAACATAATACTAGTTACTTGTAGTAAACCCCTCAACCCAATTCTTTTGCGTTATGAGAGTTTACACTAAAATTAAATAGCTATATCTATGTTACCGTGAGTCATCTTTGCCTTTCCATCAGTTTTTTGATTATTCAAAGGCTTTTATCAGTTAAAAAACCGAACTGTTTCAACCTAACGTTCTTTTTTGGTATTATTCTCTATTTTTTCAAAATTTTTATGACAAGACATATGTATGCTTTCGTTATATAAAGTATGTTATACAGGAGTTTACTATACAGCAACATTTTCCCTGGGCATTTGCTCTCTTAGCTGAGCACTACGCTAACATTTTCATGACTGGTCATTTACTGTAACATGTCATAACGCCTTCTTTCTTTCATTTCCGGTGATTTATATAAAACTACCGCCACGCGTTTAAACGTAGTAGTAACAGGGTTTGTTTTACACAGTAAAAGTCATTGTATAGGTATTACCGGAAGAGTTATGTTGTAAATTTGTGTTTTACATATATATGTTTATATATACTAATTGTCATAACATATGCTTACTTATGTTTATTTGTCACAGTATTTTTTTTTCTTTATTAACCTTATTTTAGACTGCTTATGTTTTCTAAAAAAGCATAAAACGCTTTTTTTATTAAAAATTTGGTTTTGAGTACTATAAAAAATGGTACGGTAATAAGTAGGTCATGCTAAACTGTTGCTTTGCTACAAAAAAAAGTCTGATTTTCTACTAAAATTCAGTAAAAACATGCTTTAGAACATATTATATCGTTCAATTAATTCTGTGCTCTCTTTCAAAGCAAATTTTTGTCCTTAGGGGCACAGAAGTATCTAAACAACCTAATATAAAAACATTTCTTGCAAAAAATGATTTTTATATTTTGTGGTATTTAACCCTGTAACAGCCCTTTAGCCTTACAATCGTTAGCATTTGGAAGTAGCTCTACTCGTGGTTTCGAAAGACATTTGAATTCTTTTAATCGATTAATAGCCTTTTCCATCGAAAAGTTCATCGCAATAAA